ACTACACATTTTAAACAAATGTTAGGTCTATGAATACTCAAAACTTTTCCAAATGTTATCGAAGTTGGGATGGTCTCAACTACTTTTCCTAAAGGCTATTGTGAAAAACTCAAGACGTTAACTATCGTATTTGTTTGTAAAACGAAAAGAAATAAACGTAAATAAAACCGAAATAGTACAGAACAGTAGATCTACCAATACAATTAACAAATGTTGTACATTATAAAATCACAATGCATTGTGGGCCCCTAATCAATGCTATAAAGAAACAAAAGTTGTTTCAATATCTAGCGGCCTCTCGCGCGATAGACTTTGATTTACTTTCAAAAGAATTTTGCCGACAACAGCGTGTGTTTGATTGTAGGAGAAAGAGGACTCGGGATGGTGTCTATAGAAGAAAGGTAATCCAACCGCAGCTACAGTATTCTTTTTACAAAACAACCATGAAGTCAAAAATGTAAGAATATTATTTTTTCTTAACTATAAAAACTGATTATGATCGGCTGTGGGCCCCTAAACTGCCTGCACCCACCGCCCCCCCCCCTCGCATTGAGGGGTCTGGCGGCACTGTAGTTCCCCCCCCCCTGGTCATAATCAAGTATGTAACTCTATAAAGAATATTCGATCCATACACCCATACATCATTACATTATTATAACTTCCGTTAATAAAAAACGATGTCGTTCATTATAACTGTATTAACTTTGTTAGAAATGTTGAAGACATTTTGTTTCTGATGGTTGGAGTAAAAATACATAAGAGTAATATTTTGATTGTTAATAATGTAGGTAGGCCTATACAGAGAAGGATGTAGCAGGTAACAAAGACAACTTGACTATTCTCTGATCCTGACATATACATTTACACTCAGATTACCCAGCACCATTGTACATGCGTCGAATAGCCAATAATATAACAGTTGCGGATGAAAGTTGCTTAACTTATATTAGTTTAAATGTGTACATTTATAAAATATGAACACGTGTCAGACTAGTTTTTAAATAGTAGGCATTATGTAGAATATATTAAAAGGCACGTTTTAAAATCCACGAACCTCATTTTGTTTTGTTTAAATGCCTCATAGAATTAAGATAAAACTTGTTGGAGAACATGTGAAATATTTGGAGGAAAAGATACGAGTTATGCCCTTGAAATTATGAAACGTGTATGAAATCAGTCCTTTTTTTAATTGAAAGATGAAATCAGGTTGTTCTGGAAGTGCAAGGGAAAGAGGACCTTTTGATATACTTTAAGGACAAAGAGTGTTTGAAGAGTTTCATTCCTAGCAGATATATTCTAACATCAACATAAGCTTAACTTGAAGTTTCAGGAAAAACGAACGAATATTATCTCTTTTCATGATAATCGCGGGTCATTTTTATCAAAGCTGCGAAATTGGCAAGAAAAATAAACCTTGGAAATATTGCCATGGTTGAGAAACTCTGCAGTGTGGTAGATGAATCTTAATGTGAAATAAATAAAAAAAATTGAAAGAGGATTCTGGGCTTTTTTAATTTCATGAAAACGAACTGCAACATTATTTTCCCCTGAGCTAAAAAAAAAAGAAGAATCTGCATTGAGTCGTTACCCACTCTCTGCATCCCATAATGTTGCCAGCATTCTTCATAAATTAAAAGATTAAATCTTAGATTTGTGGAATGACTCTTAACTTACCGTGTTAAACACAACTTTGGTATAGAATGCACAATTTATACGAAAACGTTAAGTTGATTGTCTTTCGAGTTTTAGTTCCTTTTTAATCTAAACCGACATATATTCGTGAGAATTGACTTTCAAAACTTCTCCAATTAAAAACAAAACAAAGAAAGAAATTAAATACTGATAATGACGTGAGGTTGGCATTAACAACAACTCAACGGCAAACGTTAAGGCTAGACATTAGCATGCAATTTCATTCATGGTATTAAAAAAAAGTTATCAAGAATAATTCATATTTAAAGTCTAATTAAAAATCTTATTTTAGTGCTTATTAATTCCCTTACTAATATTGACTTTTTAATTCTGTGGGAGTCGCGGGTGACTTACTTTTCATAAAAAGGGTTTCTTCCAGGCATAAACGGAATTTATATAGAAAATAAATACTTTGTATCACATCACGGGCTACATGTATTCATAACCTGTTATATGTGTATTGACATATAAGAATATTCAAGTGAAATCTGCCGAACTAACCCTACCCTATCACATATTGATTATACAGGAAGAAGAGGGGAGTTGGACTGTAACTGTAAGCTAACAAAAATATATATAACACAATTTTAAGATACATATTTATACATGCATGCATATATATATATATATATATATATATATATATATAGAGAGAGAGAGAGAGAGAGAGAGAGAGAGAGAGGGGAGAGAGAGAATGAAAGAGAGATAGTTATGTGTTGAGTGTTAATTTACTAATTCAATAATACTGAATATATGAAAATAGTGGTTTTTTAATACAGAAAAAATGTAATCTAGAGTTTTTTAATTGAATGAATTCGATGATCAAAATAACAGTTATTTGCAGTATAATAAAACATCTTTTTTTTCAGTTACAAATACATTATTAGGATTAGTATTTTAAATACATAGAGTAAATATTCATTTTGTATAGAAAACATATTCAGGCATTCGTTTTTTTTTAAAGTTCATTTTATTTGTGTCAAAGTTCTAGATCTTAATTACATTTTCAATTAGAAAAATACGTTCATCTTTAACACATAAAATGTAGGTATGCAAATTTAACAAAAGATTTTGACCATACACCTAGCGCTTACATACCAGGAAGATGGTGATGACGTTGAATTAGATGGAACTGTTTAATTATGACTTAACAAATTAAATAACATATAAACCATTAAAGTTTCTTTTAAAACATGTAGTCTGCACACATAGTTAGTTATTAGCGTGTTTAACATGGTGGTTAAACATTTTAATTTTTTTGCGAATTTACTATCCACCATGTTTTATGTTATATTTCTATAAACTAACGATAGTAAAACTACTGTAGCAGGATAAAGCTGCGCCTAGCCCTGCGAGAGTCACTTTAAAGTAAAGTTCTTGACCTTTCTTCATGTCAACAACCACTGACCTAGCAGCGCTAGTGTCGGCACATTTCACTTCTATAGCCGTACAGCACTTGCCTCCAGCCATCACACCAACTACAATATGTTTATCTCCCCATTCATGTAGACTGACACAGACAAGATATAAACCATCATGTGGTCATACAAATGTTCCTGTTCTTTGATTAAAATGTTGACCGTTATATTCACGTACTTCCCTAAATGTTGAAATAGTTGATCCATCACAGACAGGTGTGTAATCAGCAAGCTCCACATGACAAGCATATCTGTTAGATACACGTGATGCTGTTGATTGGAAAACATGTATGATTTACATGTTTAATTTCATACCTGCTCTGACTGTTTAATTCATACAATGTGGGCTACATTTTCATTTACCTTTAAAGTTGTTACATACTTTTCTCTAAGACTATTAATTTCAACAATTACTTTAGTACCGCCCTAAGTTGTAGTGTTCTTAGTTTATCATCTGACGATTTAAAACTATTAATTTTAAACAAGTATAGCAGGTCATGTAAAATGTTGCCAAAAGTAAAACAAGTGGATTATGTTCCGTATGTGTTCACATTGTAGCTTAATTATAGAAGGCTAATTAATGAAAACCAAAAATCACCTGAACTATAGTTATTCTGTTTTACAAAACAGACTTAGATAAAACGAATAACAAGATACGCACCATCAAACTTTACTATTGTTTATTTCGCGTTAATTTAAATTAATTAGATACTGAGATGTAAAAATGTAATATTTGTTTTGTTAAATAGTTATAATTTTGTTTTCGATTTAAATCCTGGATATAATGCGACGCAGTTTTAATTGTAAAAACAATGAAGGGATGATGTGACGTTAATTGGAACTAATAAATAAATTAATTAGTTAATTTTAAACTGCAGCTCTGTAAATGTATTACTGTACTAGGGAAGACCGCTGTAGGTCGACCCCCGACATACCAGGTGGTGTAATGTACCAGGTGGTGTAATGTACCAGGTGGTGTAATGTACCAGGTTGTGTAATGTACCAGGTGGTGTAATGTACCAGGTGGTGTAATGTACCAGGTGGTGTAATGTACCAGGTGGTGTAATGTACCAGGTGGTGTAATGTACCAGGTGGTGTAATGTACCAGGTGGTGTAATGTACCAGGTGGTGTAATGTACCAGGTGGTGTAATGTACCAGGTGGTGTAATGTACCAGGTAGTGTAATGTACCAGGTGGTGTAATGTACCAGGTGGTTAAATGAAATGTACCAGGTGAGGAAACAAACACCTGACGGAAACCCACGGGTCTAGAGACTGGCATTATGGGTGAGTGAAATGTTCCATTCTTTATCAAGTTATGGTCTGTCTGGCTAACGAACATCACGTTATGGTCTGTCTGGCTAACGAACATCACGTTATGGTCTGGCTAACGAACATCGCGTTATGGTCTGTCTGGCTAACGAACATCAGGTTATGGTCTGACTGTCTAACGAACATTACGTTATTGTCTGGCTAACGAACATCACGTTATGGTCTGGCTAACGAACATCACGTTATGGTCTGTCTGGCTAACGAACATCACGTTATGGTCTGTCTGGCTAACGAACATCACGTTATGGTCTGTCTGGCTAACGAACATCACGTTATGGTCTGTCTGGCTAACGAACATCACGTTATGGTCTGTCTGGCTAACGAACATCACGTTATGATCTGTCTGGCTAACGAACATCAGGTTATGGTCTGTCTGGCTAACGAACATCACGTTATGGTCTGTCTGGCTAACGAGCATCACGTTATGGTCTGTCTGGCTAACGAACATCAAGTTATGTTCTGGTTAACGAACATCACGTTATGGTCTGTCTGGCTAACGAACATCACGTTATGGTCTGTCTGGCTAACGAAAATCACGTAATTGTTAAAGCGCATTTACCGATCAGATGAACTTCTTTGGACAACTTTGAAATAGTATTCTCAATATTCTCAATCTAAATAAATACAAAGTATAAATTATATAAATGAAATATTCACATAGTTACGTTTAACATACAATAGTTCCATCGAAAATAATTGGAAATGGCATCGTGTAAGAATACAAAAGAATTTAAATTTAAAGCTGTTTTATAAACATAAATTAATTATCGAAAACAGAGGGTATTTATTGGACTTATAACATATTGTTTGTACTTAGTGCATTGCGATTTGTTTTGTAATAATTTTATTACAAACATACCTTCTTTATTCTTTCTTCCCTACTTTCCAAGTTCTGGTTAAAGATTTGAATCAGTTTGTCAATAGGCATCAATCTTTGTTGAAGGAGGTTGTACATTACATTGTGCTAAATAGATTATTACAAATTTGACTATTTCTATTGCAGAATAAAATTGCTGATATTAACGTGTGCCTTAAAATTAGTTTAAAAAATCAAAAGTATTACTGGTGAAAAATTTAATCAACCGACTTATAATTAGATGTTACAATTTGGTTCTAATATATGGAGTTGTAAACTGGGAAGTAGGTGTATAATTGTGTACCCAATTATTTATAAATTTGAATATTTACCTTTGATGTATCGACTAAGATTTTATTATTGTCTTTTTCTAAAGATAAAATCTGATCTGAATGTTTTTAATTTCTTGTGCTATACTTTCTGTTTTATCTGTGTGACATTGCATATCTTTATGTATTTTAAGTAAGTTGTTTTCATATTCTTTCATATCTAGAGACAGTTTCTCTAGTGTTTTGTTTGACTTGGATTCTTTTTCTTTTAAACTTTCAATTTCTTTGTTCAGCTCTTTTACTTTGTTATCTTGTTCACTTATTTGTTTTCGAACATTTTTAAAATTCTGCTTTTGTTTTTTAGTTAGTTGTTCAACGTTTACCGTCTTGTCACTCTGTTTTGTTACAAAGTTGTCTCTCCATTGTTTTATTTCTGATATGTCATCTGTAGACTTGTCATTGGCGTCTTGTAGAGAAGATATGGCTGTCTCTATCTGCTTAAGTCGACTGACGTCTTGTAGAGAAGATATGGCTGTCTCTATCTGCTCAAGTCGACTGACGTCTTGTAGAGAAGATATAGCTGTCTCTATCTGCTCAAGTCGACTGACGTCTTGTAGAGAAGATATGGCTGTCTCTATCTGCTCAAGTCGACTGACGTCTTGTAGAGAAGATATGGATGTCTCTATCTGCTCAAGTTGACTCAATATTTCTATGGCAATATAAAATTATTATAATATACTACACTTCCTTTAAGAAAATATATATGAATCATTCACCGTAAAAATATTAATTTTACTATATTTTTTGTGTAAAAATATGTGTGTATAGATACCTGATGGTTTATAAGTTTCGTTAAGGATTTGATCTGTTGACTGCCTACGGCCATATTTTGCTGTTGCTGTTTTTTGTGATGTAGACGTAGATGAAAATGATTTTCCATCTTCTACACTGTCGTTATTTTCGCCTGGTAAATTTTAGTGAACAGAAATTATTTTAAATATAAATAATAATAATCCACTTGTAGTTTTACTCAATGTTGAATCTTTCTTAATTAAATTGTTTTTTTTTGTGTTAAATTTGTATGCATAATATATTCTTTTAAAATTATTTAATTTGAAAGTATTATTTTTATTACATTATTGCTATTTAACTGATACTCCAGAATATAATCAAAATAAACTACACTTAAATTTAAAATACTTACTTAAGATAAGCGACGATACATCCAACAAGGCCAAGGTAGCTGACTCAAGTTCTTGGCTTAGATCACAGTATGTCAAAGATTTATTGTCACTTTTACCTTCTAACCAAGTCTTACTTTTTTCTGCAGCTTGACACATTAAGCATTAAGTTCTATTGTTAAAATGAGTATCAGAATCATATTTGAGAACATTGGGTTTTATTTTAAATATTTTTTTTGTACTTTATAAATACTATACTAAATCTTTATCATCAACAAACTCAATATAAAAAGCACAAATACAATGATGAAAGCAGGGAGAGACAATAACCACTTACAGCTTGCAAAGCTTCAACCACAGGTTTAATGACGTGTATCTTTTCTTCTAAATACTTCATGTGTTCTGTAACATATTTGACTTGCACTCTAGGACGCATCTGAATAAAACAAAAATAGAATGCACAAATTTAAACGTACGTATTAGGGACTGAGTGGTCTAGTGGTAGAGAGCTGGACTGCTAACCCGTAAGTCTCGAGTTCGAATCCGTGTTTAAGTCAGTAGACCGTCCCTGAGTCCACTCAAATCTGATGGGTACCTAACTCACGTTACATATGACGAGGTCACAGAAACATGGAACTGTACTTCACTTGCCCCATAGACCGCCTGGTTTGAAAGGGAAACTTTACTTTACTTAGATTTATAATGACTTTTCACTTTCTCGTATATACGAAGTAGGCCTATAGAGAAAGTCTTGTAATCGTGCAAAAAAAAAAAAATCCAGATTTTTACAAATCTCGACGTTTTACACCTCACTGATACGGAAAAACATAATTTTGCAATCTTGTCCGTCCGTCTGTCTGTCTGTCTGTCTGTCTGTCTGTCTGTCTGTCTGTCTGTCTGTCTGTCTGTCTGTCTGTCTGTCTGTCTGTCTGTCTGTCTGTCTGTCTGTCTGTCTGTCTGTCTGTCTGTCTGTCTGTCTGTCTGTCTGTCTGTCTGTCTGTCTGTCTGTCTGTCTGTCTGTCTGTCTGTCTGTCTGTCTGTCTGTCTGTCTGTCTGTCTGTCTGTCTGTCTGTCTGTCTGTCTGTCTGTCTGTCTGTCTGTCTGTCTGTCTGTCTGTCTGTCTGTCTGTCTGTCTGTCTGTCTGTCTGTCTGTCTGTCTGTCTGTCTGTCTGTCTGTCTGTCTGTCTGTCTGTCTGTCTGTCTGTCTGTCTGTCTGTCTGTCTGTCTGTCTGTCTGTCTGTCTGTCTGTCTGTCTGTCTGTCTGTCTGTCTGTCTGTCTGTCTGTCTGTCTGTCTGTCTGTCTGTCTGTCTGTCTGTCTGTCTGTCTGTCTGTCTGTCTGTCTGTCTGTCTGTCTGTCTGTCTGTCTGTCTGTCTGTCTGTCTGTCTGTCTGTCTGTCTGTCTGTCTGTCTGTCTGTCTGTCTGTCTGTCTGTCTGTCTGTCTGTCTGTCTGTCTGTCTGTCTGTCTGTCTGTCTGTCTGTCTGTCTGTCTGTCTGTCTGTCTGTCTGTCTGTCTGTCTGTCTGTCTGTCTGTCTGTCTGTCTGTCTGTCTGTCTGTCTGTCTGTCTGTCTGTCTGTCTGTCTGTCTGTCTGTCTGTCTGTCTGTCTGTCTGTCTGTCTGTCTGTCTGTCTGTCTGTCTGTCTGTCTGTCTGTCTGTCTGTCTGTCTGTCTGTCTGTCTGTCTGTCTGTCTGTCTGTCTGTCTGTCTGTCTGTCTGTCTGTCTGTCTGTCTGTCTGTCTGTCTGTCTGTCTGTCTGTCTGTCTGTCTGTCTGTCTGTCTGTCTGTCTGTCTGTCTGTCTGTCTGTCTGTCTGTCTGTCTGTCTGTCTGTCTGTCTGTCTGTCTGTCTGTCTGTCTGTCTGTCTGTGTATAAACGCGATAACTTGAGAACCGTTACAGCTAGGTTGATGAAATTTTATATATAAGTATTTTATCAAAATCGTAAATATGTTTCAACTTTTGAGCAATTTCCGATAACCGGAATTTGTACTTTTTCTACTTTGAAATTTTCAAAAGTCTATCACTTGAGTACTATTTCAGATAGATAAATGAAATTTCATATGTGAGTAAAAGATCAAATTCTCTACCTTCTTTCAAATTTTGAGTAATTTGAGTTGACAGGAAGTACTAATTTACGCTATTTCCGATTTCTCAAAAAACGCATGTAAATTTATAAAGTACTAATAATTTTTTCTATGAGATTCTATTCTATTTTTAAAAGTTTAAGTAATTAAAAATCATGTCTATATTCCAAGTTATATAAGAATATTCTAGAAAGTTTAGGGGAGATCTCTCCCGGTTTATTTAAACAACGAATCTTTCCTCGGCATCAAATAATCAAGCAATTTTTACACACTAGACACATCGAGTCAAAGACATGATTAATTTAAACATTACTTTTCACTAATCAATTTCCTGATTATTTGAAGGGCATTAGCTCACGTTTGTAGTTTTGTAAAAATAAAGTTATGGAAATGATACTGTTGTGTAATGCATGGATTTTACATTAACGTTACTATTTTGAAATGTAAACTCACATTTGACAGTGGAATAAAACACTGTTTTCAGTTGTTTTGTCCTTTGTTTTAGACACTCTAGTTCCAGTAGTAACAAACTGTAGTTCCGCTTTAATAAACAAACTGTCAATAACACAAGTCACCTCTACCTTGTAGTAATGTCAGTGTTTTATGTGAACTTTGTACTGACCCGTTCTTTGGCTTAATTTACTATCATTTATCTTATCAATAAACATATAAAACATTTAAATTGTGTTATCATCAATTTTACACATTAAGTGATTTTATCAGTTATATCTACTGATTGAAGGTGTATTCAAATCATGCCGAGTAAATGCCGGCTTATCGTGTATGTGTAGGGATCTGTACCCGAACATTCTTATTTGTATAAAAAATTACTTACTCAGCGTGAAGTAAATTGCAGCATTGAACATGGGTACATTTGGACAGGTACACAATAAAAGATCAGAGGTGGGTGGGGATGGGCCGTACCGGTAGGCGCCTTGTATGTGTGGGGTGAGCGACTGGTTTTGTTTCAATACGATCAAAGGCAATGTTCAGTACTTTTATTGTTTTCGTGTTCACATAGCACACAGTGCTGTCTTATTCGCTTGTCTCTACCATAAAGCCCACTAGCAATCGTTAACTCCTGCTTTAATACACGAATTCTACCTTTGGGTAACAATACATAAACACCCCGAGGTAAACTAATCTCACACACTCCTCTCTTTTAAAATGTAAAGGATTCTAACTTATTGTAATCTAAACCACAAATGGCCCACACCAACACCATTTTTTTGCTAGCTGCATTACGTTGTATACAAATCGTATAAAACTATTGTTATTATCTGTGCGTATTTTTAAAAAAATACCATTGGGGGAGGGGGGGGGGGGGGGGAATGGATACCAACTGAAAATTTTGCAAAGTTTAGTGGTAAAAAAATGTTAGCAATAGATGAATATAATGAGAATACATGTGCATATTGACATCAACAATATTTGTACTTCCGTTTGCTGGGGTATAATGTGTCCATACAACAGTCTTTGAATATATGGCATACACACACACACGTTTTGCTATGATTTTTTTTTACTTCTGCTATTATTTATGTTAAATCTACCGACACTGGCCTCGCTAAATCATTTTAAATTGTAATGAAATATCTGAAAATGTAATTACTATTTTGTAATACATACGTATCTAGTTCGTGTAGGTTAATGTTAAATAAGCAATACACGAGTTTGATGGTGCTAATGTTACCATGGTGTTTATTGGAGTGTTACAATTATTACAAAATAACTAAGGATGGTAATAAATTTACAGGTTCAAACTATCCCGTTATAGATGATTGTGTAAAAATAAATGAATTATAATTCATACTTTAATTTTTTGTTTAAACAAAATGGTTTGATGTTTTTTGTTGTTCTATTTTTCGTCATATTTGTAGGCCTATACACATACAATAACTCATACAAAGTATTTGTCTTTAGGTGTTATCGCTATCTCTTTTAAGGCACCTCTCTGAGTGGGTGGGTTCATTGAAGAGCTTGATGATCCCACACTTGTCTGTGACAATTTGAACTTTTGATCAGGTACGTGGATGCTATGGTCTTATTTTATCGAACCCTAGGAATATTTGTATCATCAGACGATGGTTTTTATCTTGCCTGTGTGACACTTGATAAAAGCACCGATAAATTCATTGGGGTTGGTCTGTGGTCTGGAGACAGGTTTTGTACGACAATAGAAATATAAATTAAGTGCACCTAAACTAGCGCTGCTGGGTCAGTGGTTTATGACATGAAGTAACATCAAGAATTTTTCTCAGACCAAGACTCAATTTTATCCCACTGCAGTAGTTTTACTATCGATAGTTTATAGAAGTACAACACAAAACATGCTGCATGGTGAACTCACAAAACAACAAAACATATAATCACAAAAGTCAAAAACAAGACACTCACTTTGACCTGTTATTATTTGTATTTATATAATTACAATAAACACTTAATTTTCATAAAAATAATGTGTTAAGTGTTAGAGACTGCATCAACAGGACTAAAATCTTTAAGAGAAAGTTGCTGTGATGTTCTTTTGTTTATATATTTTATTCACTAAAACATACATTTTACACTTTCTAAGATCATATTTAAATGATAATTGCACTAAGGGACATAACCAATAAAATATATTTCAAAGTATACATATCTTGATAAGTTCCCTTGAAGATTTCCTTACATTTTTTTTCTGTTAATAACTCCAGGGTTTTCCGCTTGAAAGCGAAATATAAGGACAATGGTTATTAATCTTTAAGATTGCATATTTAAACAAATATTAAAAAAAAAATTTAAATATATAGATTTAACTATATTCACAAAAGAATGTTAAAATGTTTGTATATGTCTAGATATCTGTGTGAGTAGGCTCACACAATCTAAATACAAACAAACAAACACGACTCACAAGTAACAAAACAAAAAACTATATAAACCACAGGCTCATCAACGCTAGAGTTTTATTATATCTGCAATATCTACACAAACACATGGGAAGAAATTTTGACTGATAACTTCAATATACGTCGACCCTATTGCGACTAATACATTTTAAAATCGTAGATTCCAATAAAGATCTGAATCTAGGATCTCGATCTATTAGAAGCAATGGCAGATTCAAGTCTGGACGACTTTTTTGCCAAAAAAGACAAGAGTAAAATGAAATCTAAACCAAAATCTGGTGGTGGTGATGTGGAAGCAAATACGAATACATCAATGAAATCTATAAGTAAAAAGACTAAAGATAAAAAACGAAAAAACTAGTGGAACTAAATATTTTGACATATCAACAGGAGGATGAGGAATGGAAAGATTTTGAGGAAGAAAAAGATAAAGACTTCTCAGGTCTCCCCATTCAAAATTTGCAGATAACTAAAGAACAGGATGATAGAGAAGCAGCAGATTATATCGACAATGGTGATGATGATGTTAGAGATAACAAGGACAGGCGAGATGGGGCATCTGGGGCATGGAATAAATCAAACACACTTTCAACAACAGCACCAGTCCAAGAACAAATCCACCATCATGAGCCAGATAGGGAAGAAACAACGCCTAAACTCCTGCAAAATATTCTTCAGTAAATACACCTAATTTCCCTTCATCTCGTAAGAAAAAAGAGGCACCAACTGTCAATAGTGAAGAAGATTTTCCTACCTTGGGTGGTGCATCTACTACTGGAAAAAGCCTTCAGTGCAGTAATAGAGCCTCTTCAAACATCATTGAGAACTTTTAACACAGAAAAAGTGTAATCCTGACACTGGAAAACAAATTTTCAGCATTGCAAGATTGATTATTGTACAATATAATAAAAGTGTACTACTGTGTTAAACCAGCGTAAATTAATTATAACATAGCTTATTACATTGTGGACTATTATTTCTATTTTATTTTTTTCTTTCTTTTAATAAAAAAAAATTCTGACAAGCAAGCTCATGATGCTCACTTAAATTAAACTTGAATTTTTAAAAAGACAGTATAAACATGTACAACTAATCGTACTTTTAGAGGAAAAAATTTAGTCAAATATATTGATTTATTTTTGTAATTAAATAAAATATTAATGGTTAAAAAAAATCTACACAAACATAGGCGATTCAAAATTTGAATCTTGTACACAAACTAAGATTTAGTGGCTATATAAAAGTAAACAGAACTAACCTACACTAACCCGGTAGAAGAACTGGAATGTCATACGCCGTACTCGCACACATTATATACATGTACACAAACAGGTACACAAACAGGTACACAAACAGGTACAAACTAACTATAATTACACCAGTTACTCCAACAGTCACTGATGCCAGTGTGATTTTATAAAATGTCATCTACTATTTTTTTTTAAAAGTGAATATTTTGTCAAAGCTATATTAGTTACATTCATATTAAATACTTTTAAAATGTTTTTTGTTACGAAAATAAAAGGTGTACCTATTTACAAACACTTAAAACAATTTTTTTCCATATCTCCGTCTAGAATAGTGCACTTACACATATCCTTACAGTATAACAAGTGTCACCGCATGCATGCATACATATACACATGTGTGTACGTATGTGCAAGCATTTATGTGTACTCTTGTGTGCATGTGTGAGTAAACATCAGACACGAGATTTGGTTAAGCTCACACACAAGATTTAGTTTAGCTCACACACAAGATTTAGTTTAGCTCACACACAAGATTTGCTTTAGCTCACACACAAAATTTGGTTTAGCTCACACAAAAGATTTAGTTTAGCTCACACACAATATTTGGTTTAGCTCACACACACAAGATTTGGTTTAGCTCACACACACAAGATTTGGTTTAGCTCACACACACAAGATTTGGTTTAGCTCACACACACAATATTTGGTTTAGCTCACACGCACAAGAGTTAGTTTAGCTCACACACAAGCTTTGGTTTAGCTCACACTCACAAGATTTGGTTTAGCTCACACATACAAGATTTAGTTTAGCTCACACACACAATATTTGGTTTAGCTCACACACAAGATTTGGTTTAGCTCACACACACAAGATTTAGTTTAGCTCAAACACAAGCTTTGGTTTAGCTCACACTCACAAGATTTGGTTTAGCTCACACACACAAGATTTGGTTTAGCTCACACACAAGATTTGGTTTAGCTCACACACACAATATTTGGTTTAGCTCACACACACAAGAGTTAGTTTAGCTCACACACAAGATTTGGTTTAGCTCACACTCACAAAGATTTGGTTTAGCTCACACACAACATTTGGTTTAGCTCACACACACAATATTTGGTATAGCTCACACACAAGATTTGGTTTAGCTCACACACAAGATTTGGTTTAGCTCACACACAATATTTGGTTTAGCTCACACACACACAAGAGTTAGTTTAGCTCACACACAAGATTTGGTTTAGCTCACACTCACAAAGATTTGGTTTAGCTCACACACAACATTTGGTTTAGCTCACACACACAATATTTGGTTTAGCTCACACACAAGATTTGGTTTAGCTCACACACAAGATTTGGTTTAGCTCACACACACAATATTTGGTTTAGCTCACACACACAAGAGTTAGTTTAGCTCACACACAAGATTTGGTTTAGCTCACACTCACAAGATTTGGTTTAGCTCACGCATACAAGATTTAGTTTAGCTCACATACACAATATTTGGTTTAGCTCACACACACAAGAGTTAGTTTAGCTTATACACAAGATTTGGTTTAGCTCACACTCACAAGATTTGGTTTAGCTCACACATGCAAGATTTAGTTTAGCTCACACACACAAGATTTGGTTTAGCTCACACTCACAAAGATTTGGTTTAGCTCACACACACAATATTTGGTTTAGCTCACACACACAAGAGTTAGTTTAGCTCACACACAAGATTTGGTTTAGCTCACACTCACAAGACTTGGTTTAGCTCACACATACAAGATTTAGTTTAGCTCACATACACAATATGTGGTTTAGCTCACACACACAAGAGTTAGTTTAGCTTATACACAAGATTTGGTTTAGCTCACACTCACAAGATTTGGTTTAGCTCACACATACAAGATTTAGTTTAGCTCACACACACAAGATTTGGTTTAGCTCACACGGTGTGTTAATCAATATGTAGTTAGATCCGTTCATATTTCCTTTTAATTTTTTATTTTTTAGTTAATGAGCAGAGTTAGTCTGGGCAGATTTAACCTGATTTTTTTCATATAATACATCGCCGTGTGTCAAAATGCTATGCGCTATACTGCTCGCTAAAACTGTGTACATCCTGCTTTTATTTCTGGCTTTGATTCCATAGCATTTGTTCATATAAAGAACAAAGTACTAGGCAGCACTTGTTTCATTTAGGAGTGTTTCTCCTAGATGAGTATTTGTCCCTGGTTATCGAGCCTAATTTAGGAACCCGCGACTTCAGTGAAAGCAATAATGAGATCCATTACTTGAAAACGGGACAATTACGTAGGGGTGTGACGCCATAGACCCATTAGACATAGCGTCGTTTAATTTTTTTGTGTTTGGTATAGTATTAATTTTAAAATATCAAATAAAACAGACAAACATGATTTATATTTGTTAAATAGACAGATCGGAATCAAGGATTGTACACATTTGGCTGTAGATTTGATTGTCACTACTGCTGAGCTTTTTGATTTTGCGATGTAAGGCTCTGTGTTAACATACATATACATACAAATACATATACATGAATACACACACAAACACACAAACATATATATATATATATATATATATATATATATATATATATATATATATATATATATATATATATATATATATATATATATATATATATATATATATATATATATTTAATTATTTATTTATTTATATTTATACATATATACTTGATAGCTAAATAGATGTTATAATTATTATAGGTGTTAATGTATGTTAATTTACTGACACAATGTTACTGAATACAAACCAAAAACAAAAATGATTCTAACACGGAAACAGTTATTTTTTTCAAATTAAAGGCAGTAGTGATCAAAATGACAACAGTTCTTTGCAGTATAATAATTTTAAAAAATATTTTTTAATGTTAATAACAAATGAATGTTTTTAATACAAAATACAAATGTTAATGTTTGTTAAGTGAACTCATTCTAACAATCTTTTTTTAAATAGTTCATTATCATGTAGTTCCAGGTATAAGTTTTTTTTTTAACAATTAACATGAACGAACATCACGTTATGGTCTGCCTAGCTAACGAACATCACGTTATGGTCTGTCTGGCTAACGAACATCACGTTATGGTCTGTATGGCTAACGAACATCACGTTATGGTCTGTCTGGCTAACAAACATCACGTTATGGTCTGTCTGGCTAACGAACATCACGTTATGGTCTGTCTGGCTAACGAACTTTAATTAATAAGTAAATTTTTTCGTGTAAGACAGGGGTCTCCAAACTTTTCAGTCCAAGGGCCGCATTAACTATCAAATTTCAGTTCGAGGGCCAGTTTCTTCCAGGCATGTCTTTGATTTTTCTGGACAAAGTTCCTCAGCCTAGTGCTCACATACTGATAAAGATATTTAAACAAAGCAGTCTTATAGTCTATTAGAGATATGAGCTTAGTGGCTTCAAGTATGACACATTATTGGTGAGCACATTGAATAAGCTAGAACTCCCAAACGATGACTAAACAAATAACATATACACAACTTAAGTTTGTGCGGACATGTAGTCTATACACAAAGAAAGTGGTTAGCGTGTGTATTACATGGTGGTTACATATTTTATTGTTTTGAGAATTTACCAACCACATGTTTGGTGTTGTACTTCTATAAACTAACGATAGTAAAACTACTAAACCAGGATAGCGCTGCGCCTTGATCTGCGTGATTCGCATAAAAGTAAAGTTCTTGACCTTTCTTCATGTCAACAACCACTGACCCAGCAGAGCTAGTGCCGGCACATTTCACTTCTATAGACTTACACCACTCGTCTCCAGCCACCACAGGAACTTGAATATGTTTATCTCCCCATTCATGTAGACTGACACAGACAAGATATAAACCATCATGTGGTGATACAAATGTTCCTGTTGTTTGATTAAAATGTTGACCGTTATATTCACGTACTTCACTAAATGTTGAAATTGTTGATCCAGCACTGACAGGTGTGGGGTCAGCAAGCTGTACATAACAAGCATATCTGTTACATACACGTGACTCTGTTGATTAGAAAACATATGTATTATGTACTTGTTTAATTTTATACATGCTCTGACTATTTGATTCATAAAATGTGCATTTACATTTTCAAAAATTAAAATGTGGATGATCATTTATCTATTAAATTTACATAATTCTATCTAAGACTACACATTTCAAATATTAGTTTAGTATCGCCGTGGGTTAGTTTAGCGTTAAGTACGTGTGTTTCACGTCACGTAATATGTAACTAGCATAAAACAAACGGCAACTCTGTAAATGTCTTACTGTACTAGGGTAGACCTCTGTAGGTCGACCCCTGACATACCAGGTGGTGTAATGTACCAGGTGAGGAAACAAACACCTGACGGAAACCCACGGGTCTAGAGACTGGCACTATGGGTGAGTGAAATGTTCCATTCTTTATCACGTTATGGTCTGTCTGGCTAACGAACATCACGTTATGGTCTGTCTGGCTAACGAACATCACGTTATGGTCTGTCTGGCTAACGAACATCACGTTATGGTCTGTCTGGCTAACGAACATCACGTGATGGTCTGTCTGGCTAACGAACATCACGTTATGGCCTGTCTGGCTAACGAACATCACGTTATGGCCTGTCTGGCTAACGAACATCACGTTATGGTCTGTCTGGCTAACGAACATCACGTTATGGTCTGTTTGTCTAACGAACATCACGTAATTTTTTTTAATAAAATTTTCAGGCAAACCTACCTAAAAGATTCAAATCTTTGGACAGCACTGAAATAGTAGCTTCAATAGTTTCAAGCTAAAAAAGATTTTATAAAATGAGTGAAAAAATCACATAGTTACGTACAACATACAATAGCTGCACTTATAAAATAATTTAAAGGATGTGTTTTTTTTTTAAATTAAAGATGTATTACTTAATTTAAGAAAACATGTATTAACTGCTCTATTGACATAGTGTTAATAATTTAGGCCGGATTTATCAACGTTGCAATTTAATTATTAATAAAATTACTACACGTATACCTTCGTAGTTTTTTCTTCCCTAGTTTCCAAGTTCTGGTTAAAGATTTGAATCAGTCTGTCAATGGGCATCAATCTTTGCTGTAGTAGTTTGTACAATACATTTTGCTAAATATCAGAAGATTATATAAAGGCATTTTAATTTTGATTATTTTTAATGCAAATTATATCTAACATAAACATGTGTCTTAAAATTAGTAATTATATTAAAGTATAACAGCTGATGAAGTTACCAAGTTTTATAAAAATTTAACTTGGTTATAATAAACTATCTGGCGATTATGTGTAAAAGTGTGAATACACATAATTATCAACGTTACCTTTTTTAATTGAGTTGATGTATTACACAAGATTTTATTACACTCCTCTTGTAGGGCAGCCATCAGATCCGAATGTCTTTTAATTTCTTGAGTCATACTGTCTGTTTTGTCTGTGTAATCTTGCATATCTTTATTTATTTTGTGTAAGTTGTTTTCAAATCCTTTCATAACTAGAGACATTTTCTCTAGTATTTCGTTTGACTTGGATTCTTTTTCATTTAAACTTTCAATGTCTTTGTTCAGCTCCTTTACTTTGTTATCTTGTTCAATTATTTGTTTTCTGAGGTTGTTTTCATATCTTTTCATATCTAGAGACAGTTTCTCTAGTGTTTCGTTTGACTTGGATTCTTTTTCATTTAAACTTTCAATGTCTTTGTTCAGCTCCTTTACTTTGTTATCTTGTTCAATTATTTGTTTTCTGATGTTTTTAAAATTCTGCTTTTGTTTTTTAGTCAGTTGTTCAATGTTTACCCAATTGTCACTCTGCTCTGTTACAAAGTTGTCTCTCCATTTTTTAATTTCTGATATGTCATCTGTAGACTTGTGTTGTGTGTCCTGTAGTGAAGATAGTGTTGTTTCAATATAGGCTAGTCTTCGCTCGAGGTCAGGATGTTCTTCAACTGAGAAAAGTCGCAAATATAAGTTTGTAATTGAAAATGTCTGGAACCTTGATAAATAGGTTCTCAAAACAGCGTTAAACGTAGAAACGTTAATATAAAATATTTTAAAAATTAAAATAACACAAAATGTTCAAGTTTTAACATTTCATACAATATAGTATGCTGCTGTTTAACTTGTTATACCAAACAAAACTAAGACATACCCGCTGTATGTTGAACTTGTGTCTTGAGTTGTCTTGTTGATTCTCCTGCTAGAAATGTTGCTGTTGTCTGTGTGTCAGGCTGTGGTAAAGATGGCGTTGGTTTGTTGACATCCTTGTTGTCTTCATCTGGTGGATTAAAGTTTAGAATTTTATTTTTGTTACAGTTTAAGGGATAATGTTTAATTGTACATACTATATTTCTAGTATGCTACAAAGTGTTTTAATTTTTACAATATTTTTTTTTCAAATTTAGGAAACCAAATTTTATTGAAATTATAATACGCCTAAACATCTAATCTCTTCCTTCTGTTAAATTTTCCAGGTCTACATATTTACATACTAATTTATTTTAAATTGATTTACAAAATAATTTATTTTCAATTGAACTAAGAAGTGAATATCCAATTTATAAATTGAAAGTGTAAAATTGATTTGTAACCAAAGCGTTTAAAGAAAAATCATATAACATTATATTAAGTTATTGCTATCTAACTCTCTTTATGAATAAATAAAAAATTATAAATGTTAATTATGTGTTAGTTTGTTCCTGTATGTCAATCTCTAAGAAAATAAAAAGTAGTGTAATAGTGGATCCAGAGTGAAAATTAATCCCTTAACAATAGTATGTCCCATTTTATACGGTAAATTGTAAGGTTCTTTGCATTTTTCTCAAACAAAACTTTTAGGCTACATGACAGCAGGCTTAGATATTTTAAATTATAAAGTGAATTTAAAAAACTGACCAGAAATATGTGACGTCACATCCAACAAGGCCGTGGCTGCTGTGTCCAGTTCTTGTGATAGCTCGATGTAGCTGACAGATGATTGGTCAGTTTTTTCTTCTAGCCACGCCTTACTTTTTGTAACAACCTGGTAATCACAAACGTAAACATTATTTCAACTGGCCAGGTTGTGTATGGCTATTTTATGAGAAAATGTCAAACGTAAAACGCTTTCTACCGTCTAAATGTTACTTTGTTGGTTTTCAAATATTAATAAGTATATTAAGTTTAAATTTCTCTTTATATATATATATATATATATATATATATATATATATATATATATATATATATATATAATTAGCTTTATTTTACTTTTGGAAAATGTGTTCAGGGAAATTTAAAAAAAAATAGTGTTATAACAGAAGAGCGTTATAAAATTACCAGTTGATTTAAAATGTTTTTATCTTACATTTTTCATAAGTTCAATGGTAGGTTCCAGAACTTGTATCTTTTCTTCCAAATATTTTATCTGTTTAGTAACAACCTTGATCTGAATTCGTGTAGGCATCTGGTTTAAAAATAGAATCTTCACTTATTACATTGTTTTGCTAGTCTCATAAGTCAATGTGATAGATCATAGAGGACAGAGACTTTTGGTTTAATGCTAATCCTTAGTCTCTTTTGCTTTGGACCGACTTGTTGTAATAATTCATGTTTCATTGAACATAATTACACAGGTAAAATAAGAGTAGCATGATGTATAATCGTGTTACGGTTGTTGATACAGAGAGACAAGTGCAAATATATGTAGATCTGCAGACGTAGCATACGCCGCTATCGACAGTACACCACCCCCTACATCCCACCTAAACTCACCCCGCCCAGTGAAAGCAGCCCCTTAGTTTTAAATCGTTTAATACTAAATTATCTGCCCCTAATAGCCGTCACTAACCCGGCTCTACGATTGTAAACATTCGGAGTGAACTGGAGCTTACCAGACAGGTGGAGATTGAGGTGGTGGCTAAGCTGTGTGGTGTTTTCTATGGTCTCCATGAAGAGAATTATATATAGATATAATGATTTAAATACACATCTACATAGAAAAATGTAAAGTAATTTGTTTGGTTATTTTTAAGATTTTATCGGATCATTTTTCTTTATGGATACTTTATTTGAGGGGAGGGTCGTTGTCCAGAATTTTTTTCGCCAATATTTATAAGCAGATAGGACTGGTGTCCAAGTAGATACTTGAAGTGAGGATATTTTAAACGTGTTAACAATGTAAACAACTACCTCAGTTTGGTTACTGCCTGTGTTTGAAAACATAAAATACATAACACTTTTACAACGTATCGAAACTTGTCAAATGTTGTCTAATTGACTTAAACTGAAATGAAATTACAAACCATTCCATAAATAAAATGACAACAATCACACCGATAGTTTTACAAAACATTCTCACACGAATTATATTTTTAAAGCATTCATTGCAGCTGTTACCCTCTCTACGAAACGCGTTTTTTTCATTAAATAATTATCTAGCTGTTAAACTATAAAAATAATGCTTTTGTATTTATATGGTACCTCATTAAAAGTAGAACGGCGAAACTGAAAGTTCTTAACGGAAAAATCCGCTACTATAAATATGTCATCTACCAGGTTATAAAGATGGCGACAACACAAGACACGTACTAGAGCTGCTGTCTTGCCTTCAACTAAAACATATAATTTAGGTAACACACAAAAATTAAACACACTGTCTTATTATCTAATTATCTGTAGTGAGTGTCATTTTAATGCTTTTAAACTATCTCAAACGAAATAGAAATTAACGTACATTTTAAAATTATATAAAAAAAATGGCCGATTCTAGTCGGAATAAGATACGCATGCGATACGCATGCGCAATGGAGAGAAACTACGACTTAGCGGCGATGTTTTCGATGGTACTGCGCATGCGTGTGTTTACAACCGCAGAACCCTAATACCAACCCTAATCCTATCCTTAACCCTATCCCTAATCCTATCCCTAACCCTAACCCTAACCCTAGCCCTAATCCTATCCCTAACCCTATCCCTAACCCTATCCCTAATCCTACCCCTAACCCTCATTCTAGCCCTAACCCTAGCCATAGGTCACTGCGCATGCGCAGAACTATCTTTTGCCGAAAAATCTTATTCCGAGTAGACACTTCGAAAAAAAATATTACGCTTCATAAAACATATTATATTTTTAATAAATAAAACATACACTTTATTACATTTTTCTTTGTTTATTGTTATCAGTAATGTATACATATTTATTTAATGGTATGTAAATTATATGTTTACACTTACTTCAAAGATAACTGCAGGAAATTTTCCAGCTAGTCTAGATCTAGATTCTCTCTAGATCTAGATCTAGATCTAAAATCGTTCTACAAACTGCTACGCTGCTCATGAAACCGAAATAACTGAACGGGAAATCCCGGTATTATCTAAAGAGTTGACGTCACGTTCCAAGGGACAGAACTGTCGCTGTTCACATTTATCTAGCTGGAACTCATCAAGGTAACTCACATTCACAATATACAGGAGTGGAACTATCATACCGAAATACGGTTGGGGGGGGGGGGGGGGAGTGGGATGGGAGGCATATTCCGACCAAAAACAACACATTTGTTTTTTACCTTTTTTAACATATCTATTACAGCAGTGGATGTTCTTCAGTATATAACACACACTGTCGCATAGAAAAAAATCTACATTAGCTACTGTTTGAAAGTTTAGCAAAACTTCAAACCACTTCCATAACTTATCACTCCGCTGTAAATAGTATAATAGGGGTGTCAAATGTGTCTAGTTTTGTACTTAACAAATAGCTATTTCTTTAATTCATTACCATTTAAATAAGAAACAATAAAGACTGAATCAGACATGAAAATGGTATTTGTTTTACATCTTTTAGTTATTAAAGCTTTTATTAGAGAAAGCGAAGTAATTTTATATTTTTATTTTTTTTTTAAAAACGGCCGGGTGAAAAAAGGTCTTCGTGCCGACCGCTGTTACCCTTATTGTGAACCCAATAGGTGATGTTTTATTGTGAGCCCCAGCTGTTGATGTTTTATTGTGAACCCCAACAGTTGATGTTTTATTGTGAACCCCAGCTGTTGATGTTTGATTGTGAACAGACTGTAAGCAGATCAGACATTAGGGAATGTTCTGGTACATGCTAACTATAGTTGTTCATTCCACAAGTAGAGGCCGTCTTCACCTAGGAAAATAAAGCATACAAAATATAGACATTATTTCCAACAAAAATTTAAACTTCACCTTGCATGTCACATTATATGATTTATTACATTAAGATATTCTATCAGAAATTCGCTGAGGTAAGAAAACTTAATTTTAATTATATAATTTTATATTTATGCACTACCCATCTCATCAACATTAAATCAGATCCGTCCTTTAAAGACAAGTTTTTTTTAAAACGTATTGTGTTTTTTTTACCTTCACCGTTAAATGTGACACATAGAAATTTTTAAAGTCGTATCTTTACATGTAACGTGTTAAGACAACTCTGATTAGCTATAATAGTTCTTGGTGTTAATTTATTTAGCAGGATACAACTAACAAAGCTATTTTTAGCTTATTTTGTCTTGGTTATCACAAAAACTAATTATTGCTAAAATACAGTATATTCTACACATTGTCTATGTAAATGTAAATGGACTGGTGGGTTCACCTATATGTTTTGATAATAACATATCTAATTATAAAGAGTATATTCCAAAAACACAATTTTCATTAAAATTAAATTAGTTTATATTTTCATACAGATGGCCGTATCGATTCCTATAAAGAACCAATTAGCACAACTATTGAACAATCTGACAGAGATAAATAGTTTGCTGAAAAATAATTTAAGTGACTTTGATCAGCAGGTAAGCACATCGCATATAGCATTGTATTCGCAAGACTTTAACTTATCTAGAACATTATTAAGCTGCTTAAGAAGTACAAACGCCAAAGCTTTTTACTAAGAGCTATTTATTAATGCAAATGATTTGCAAATGGGCAGAGGCGTAGCGACCCTTCCCGGCGCCCGGGGACAAACTTTTCGATTTGCACGCCCCACCCTCAAATTTTCGATTTGCACCCCCCTGAACCTTTCAATTTATTTTTCCAACCCATTTTGGCGCCCACTATGTCCCCCGCCACCCCCCCCCCTTGCTACGCTACTGCTTATGGGTGATATGAAAATTCATTTTCTATCCAAATTCCTTCTGTAAATAGATGTATACATGGTAGTGGAATTACTTAAAACACCCAAAACAACAATAATGAATATTTCGTCTTTCCTTTTTTTTTGCTTTTAAAATAATTAGCACCTAAATGTTTAAATATTCCGTTCCTCATCTATAGTATGTCATATCTAGCACCTCAATGTTTAAACACTTCAATCCTCGTCTATGTTATGTCATGTCTAGCCCCTCAATGTTTCAATATTTCAATCCTCCCCTATGTTATGTCATGTCTAGCACCTGATTGTTTAAATATGCCAATCCTCGCCTCTGTTATCCTATGGCCAGGTAAAACAAGCAACACTGGAATGGTTTGACAATCCCTCAGATGCGAAAATAGATTTTAAAGAAGTGGTTTCTATAGTAACAACAGTAAATACTGCCCTACTTGAACTTAAACAAATGATTTCTGGTAATATTATAATATGTAGTGGAGTTTTACTTTTTGTTTTTATTTAATAAATTTGATTAATAATTTAGAACGATCAAACATTCGACAAATACAGTAAAGATAACGATACATCACTAAAGTTTAATTATTATACATTTTGTCTTCATTGACTACGTCGTCCATTTAAAATCACTTCATCCTATGGATTTTAATATACATCTATATTTGTAAAAACTATTGTTTATTTTTTTTTATTCAAAATATTCTTATTGGAAACATAACGTTTAAAATCCGTTGATTTTTATATTTTAAATTGTGTGCTTTTGAATAAATTTGCATTCTTTTCAAATATATTTACATTATTACTATTGTAAATCGAATCCTTAAAACATATTTGTTACACATGTCTAAAAGTTTCCTGCACCAAGTATCAAGCAATGGCTGCTGGAGATAAGACAACACAAGAGAATAAAAGTGTTGACTCTGTACACGATGGAAATTATTCTGATCTTCCTATGTCAGGTATTGCTTTAATTTAGTTTAGCGAAAAAAAAGGCAAATAATTGTAAAAGTTATTGTTATGCGTACCATATACTTATAATATATATATATATATATATATATATATATATATATATATATATATATATATATATATATATATATATATATATATATATATATATATATACATTTATATATATATATATATATATATATATATGTATATTATATCAGTTCACCACTTCTTCATTGCATTCATTAGCATAATCCGCACCACGTTTAAATGTAATAACTTTACTTTTGTCTTTAGTTTGATATATTTTGTGGCCCTCTCCTAGAATATGCTAACATAAACACATTTTACAAGTTGCAGCTGATTTAAGTAACAAACTTGAGCAAAGAGTAGAACGTCTTGAAACAACGCTATTGTCTCTGCAAATTAGGAGTAAAAAAACTGAAGTTGACGTGACAGATATAAAACAATGGAGGGACACATATATAACAGAACAAAATAATATGAATGAAGAAATAAAACAATTGGCTCTAAAGGAAAAGCATAATTCCAAGCAATTCAGACAGCAAATAAATGAACAAAAAAGTGTAACAGATGAGATAAATCAAGAAATTAAACAATGGAGAAAAACACTTATATCCGAACATAACATTATGGCGAAAAAACTTGAAGAACTATCTCAGAAACAAATAGATTATAAAGAAAATATCAAACAGCAAATGAGAGAAGTCAAACACCGAATAAATGAGTTGAATAAAGAAATGGAGACCCTCAAAAAGAAAGAATCAAACGCATGTCAATTATTAGAAAACATAAATAAAGATATAAAAAAAATGACATTATTTTGAACACAATAATGGAAGAAATGGAAGTTCACACAAATAAAACAGAGAAATTGCAACAAGATATTAAAGAGCATTCTGATGTCATATCTTACTTGAGGGAAGAAGGAAATAAAAACAAAAATACGGAAACCAAAGTAGAAAAGTTAATTTCAATGGTTTGTACCTTTTTTAGTTTTTGAAAAGATCTATTTTATTTAAATGGATTTGATTGGTTGTATTATGTTTGTTAATAGCTACAAACTGTAATAACTACAAACAGGCTCACGTGCATTTTGTTTCCTTCTCATTTGTGAAAAATTTAAAATAACATGAATATATTTTAATTATTATTGTATGTATTATTATGTAATATTCTACTTTTAGCATAGCGTCACTTTCAAGATCCTTAACCAAAGGTTGATGCCCGTTGAAAATTTAATTCAATTTTTTAATCAAAACTTGGCAAGTAGGCAGATGAACATACAAAAGGTAACATGTTTAGTACCTAACGCGACTGTTCCCTTTGAGAGTCTACAAAGCCCACACAATCTATCGACATGCTCTCGTGACAGGAGTATTGTTTGAGACCATTATAAACAAATTAACAAAGCTGCTTTCGTTCTTTACAACATTAAAAATAAAGATAATCACTTTTCTTAGGTTCAATTTGCTATCTTGTTGTTTTTTTCTGTAAATTTAGAAAAAAATAAGTTGTAAAAAGTATATGACACTATTTTGAAATGATGAGATGTCATCTACTGTTTTTAGCTTGCAACCCTGGAAAATGATATTTTGAGAATGTCAAATGATGTAGATTCACTTAGTAAGTATGTTATCTATAACTTCTTTTATAATAATCACAAGCCATCGGTACCCGTTAAAAGAGAGTTAAAGTGACCCAATCATTTTATTTAATGTCGTTGATAACGGATGTTAAAAACAGGACAAGACATCAAAAGCCACTCTGTTGTGACTTTAACTCTACAAGATGAAGGGAAGAAAAATATGGCCAATACTACAGACCAGTTAGTAGCTTTAACTACAAAGGTATCCTGTTTATCAGATACGATTGATATATTCCCTTGTTTTTTTAAGCTACTAATACTTAATTTATTCTTGCTTACATAATGTAAAATATAGGACCTACACTATTGTTGAGGCTAGTTAATTTTGAATTTTGTTTTGCGTGGCATTTAAACGAAAATAATGTGATTGCTATTTTAAGAATGTAAGACCATCATATTTCATATGTGTGAATGTTTTTACGAACATAATTTCTTATGCAATAACTTGTAAATTGTAAACACATTTTAGGTTGAAACTCGAGAAAGTGATATTTTAAAGCTGTTACAAAATTTTAAGAAAATGGGTAAGTTAAATAATAAACTTACACATAATGGTAAACAGCAATACAAACACACCAGCACATTCAAGCTTATCTTCAGAGTTTCTTCCAGGCATCTTCCCAGTTTCTTCCCCCCCCCCCCCCCGCCCCGAAAAAATTCTACCGCCCCCCGAACGAAATGAAACTTATATAATTTATATAGTTAATATATACTTTTAACAGTGTCCGCCCCCCGAAGAAAGTCTACCGCCCCACCCCCCCCCCATCCCCCCCCACCCCGAAAATTTCAAGTGCCCCACTGCTAATCTTGATGTATAAACTCTAACATTTACTTTCCAACAGAGACCCGGGTATGTGAGCCTTACATTTGTCAAATTCACCTGAAAAACGACACAATAATAACTACTGGATCAATTATTTCTACATTCCATTTCGTGTGTGAATCTAACGGCAGCCATTTTAATAAAACCACAGGGAAGCTTGTAGCACCAGATGATGGTTTCTATCTTGTGATTGTAACGCTGCAGGAATTGGAAAAGAAACTGATTATAATTAGTTTGTACAGGGATGACATATTGTGTAAGAGCTTTGTTGTTAACTCTGCCAACACATCTGCCGCTGGATCAGCTATTGTTAATATGAACAAAGGCCATGTACTTTATTTTAAAGTCCATCAAGCAAATGACGGAGCCAAGCTACAAGCAGGCAGTGGCTTCACTATTATTAGGTTATAACTAATGTAAACATGCTCATGACATAACGTTTTATCACATAATTTACACCACAGCGTTGTCAAATGTCCTGGTTATTAAATATGTCTTTATTGTGTTTAATGTAGTCATACGAGTACAATCATGATTGTACATTAGTAATACAAACTGTACTGCGTACTAAAATAACTTCGACTAACACCCATATACTTATGCTGCATTTTAACAACAAAAAATTCTTTGTAAAAACCTAATTAACAAAATTAAAAAAAATAAAAAAGAATACGGAGCCCATGCAACTCCAATATTAAACAGAAGCATTAATATATGTTTAGCGTAGGCCTATTCGACCTTAGTTCGCTAATATCATTGCCCTATTCCAACCATAACTATACAACTAATCTAAAAGAAACAATCATAATCATGTCCTTTCCCTAATTATAATCCATAACTTGATGTAAAAAAACAACTTTAAAAGTTAATATAAATAAAGAGAGCAAAAACAAACAATTAAACAACAAACAAAAAACTTGATTGAAACTGAGATTAGACAGATAGGTAGTTCAAATTAACGGAGCTGAGTTTTTTGTATGTTGTGCTTTGAGTAGTACATAAATAGTGTTATCTGCCTCTGCGTGGTGCAGGAGTGTGTTAGTTTACACTTTCAAGACATGAACTCCATGAACAAAGACAGCTGGGAGGGGGTGGAGGGAAAATCATGTAATATGTTATAGCTGTTGAGTCCCTGACATATATCTTCCCCTGATCCGGGGGCGGGACTACCATGACGCCAGACCCCGCAATGCAGGAGGGTCCAGGACGTTTAGGTGCCCAGTTCCGAACAAAAAAAAAACTTTTTTTCAGAAATTATACTTTCATGCATCTTGAAAGTGAATTAATAAAAAAAACACGTCTACTATAGCAGAGATTGTTCTACAGTTACTATCACACACTGTTGCTTAGAAAAATATTTTAAAATGTACAAGAGCTGGTTTGAACGGAAGGCAAACGTTCACACTACTTCCATGACTTACTGCTGATCGTTAAATTAGGGGTGCCCATGAAGCTCATTTAAATAGTTGTGTACTATGTAAATTAAAAAGCTATTGATTCTCTAAATTGGTATAGTACTAATTTTAAAATTAAAATGAACATATAAAAATGATTTATATTTGATGCAAGGCTCAACTAAAGTAGACAGATGAGAGAAAATTTAATGATTGTAAACATTTGGCTGAAGACTTGATTTTCACTTCAGCTGAGCTATTTGGTTTTGCGATGCAAGGCTGTGTGCTAACATATTTATACATACAAATACATATAAATGAATACACACACACACACACATATATATATATATATATATATATATATATATATATATATATATATATATACTTGATAGCTAAATAGATGTTTTAATAAGTGTGTGTGTTTAGCATGTTAATTTACAGACACAATGTTACTAAATACAAACAAAAACAAAAGGATTCTAATACGGAAACATTTTTTTAGCGCAATTTCCATTCTGGACAATTGCGTTTATTAACCCGTCATTTCTGGATGGATGAATGGATGGATGAATGTATGAATGTGTGTCCGCAGCTTTAAGTCGTATCTCCTCCTCAACGAAGCAATATCGAGGACTAGTTCCAAAAGCAATTATGTTAAACAAGTTACGAGGATGAACTTAGGCCATAAAAATTCCGGGTTTCTTTCATGGATTTCCCGGAAAAGCCAAAAAACCTCAAAAAATGCAGTTTTTGGCCCATATCTCGGCAACCAGACCACTTAGCGACTTGAAACATGTACCAATCGATTTCTGCCATTAGTTAGAACAATATTGCCGAAGAAAGGTTTCAAAAATATCCTTTCGTTCGGTCACAAAACATATTTTGAATTAATTAAAATTTGGACCGAATTAGTAGGCATTTTTATCCAACCACACGTTCAATAGCTGCGCCATCACGTTCAATGGCTGCGTCATCACGTTCAGTAGCTAGGCGCGCAATGGCTTTTAGTCATGTAACTCTATTGTAAATAAAACATGTATTTTAACCAATAGTTTTACTAGCCCTGCTCTTGATTTACGCTACGACAGAGCTATTTTTAGATAACATGAGGAAATTGCGCTTAAATGTCATTAGACTTTTTAATTAACTTGTTTTCAAATTAAAGGCAGTAGTGATCAAAATGACAACAGTTCCTTGCAGTATAATAAAAAAATGCCTTAACAAATTTATAACAAAATAATGTTTTTAATACACAATACGTTTTTTTAAAATAGTTCATAATCATGTAGTGCCAGATACACGTTTATTTTTAACACAATAAACATACGAACATTGAATTATATGATTTTGACTATACACCAAGTCTCACATACAGAGAAGTATAAAAATTATATAAACATAGCTATCTTATAGTCTATAGAGTTAGAGATATGAGTTCGATGTCATGAAGTAAGACAAATTATTGGTGAGCACGTTAAAAAACCTAGAACTCCCAAACGATAACTAAACAAATAACATATAAATTACTCAAGTTTGTGTAGACATGTAGTCTACAAACATAGTAAGTTGTTAGCGTGTGTTTAACATGGTGGTTACATATTTTATTGTTTTGAGAATTTACCATCCACAATGTTTTGTGTTGTACTTCTATAAACTAACGATAGTAAAACCACTGTAGCCGGATAACTTTGCGCCTGGCCCTGCGGGAGACATTTTAAAGTAAAGTTCTTGACCTTTCTTCATGTCAACAACCACTGACCCAGCAGCGCTAGTTTTGGCACATTTTACTTCTATAGTTTTACACCATATGTCTCCAACCATCACACCAACTCTAATCAGTTTATCTCCCCATTCATTTAGAGTGACACAGACAAGATATAAACCATCATGTGGTGATACAAATTTTCCTGTTGTTTGGTTAAAATGTTGACCGTTATATTCACGTACTTCACTAAATCTTGAAATAATTGATCCAATACTGACAGGTGTGTTATTAGCAAGCTCCGCATGACAAGCATATCTTTTACCTACACGTGACTCTGTTGATTAGAAAACATGTAAGATTTACATGTTTAACTTCATAGATGCTCTGACTATTTGATTCATACAATGTGCATTTACATTTTAAAAATAATTAAAATGTGGATGATCAGTATCTATTACATTTACATAATTGTATCTAAGACTACAAATTTCAAATATTAGTTTAATATCGTCTTAGGTTAGTTTAACGTTTAGTAAAAATTTAAAATATTAGTTTAGTACCGCCATAGGTTAGTTAAACGTTTAGTACGTGTGTATCACGTAACGTAATATGTAACTAGCATAAAACAAACGGCAGCTCTGTAAATGTCTTACTGTACTAGGGTAGACCGCTGTAGGTCGACCCCCGACATACCAGGTGGTGTAATGTACCAGGTGAGGAAACAAACACCTGACGGAAACCCACGGGTCTAGAGACTGGCTCTATGGGTGAGTGAAATGTTCTATTCTTTAGCACGTTATGGTCTGTCTGGCTAACGAACATCACGTGATGGTCTGTCTGGCTAAAGAACATCACGTTATGGTCTGTCTGGCTAACGAACATCAAGTTATGGTCTGTCTGGCTAACGAGCATCATGTTATGGTCTTGCTAACGAACATCACTTTATGGTCTATCTGGCTAACGAACATCACGTTATGGTCTTCCTAACGAACCTCACGTTATGGTCTGTCTGGTGGTATAATTTGTTTAAAAACGTACATATTAGATTGAAATCTTTGAACAATTTTGAAATGGCATCTTCAATATTTTCCACCTAAAATATATATTTTATAGATTTGAATAAAGAAGTCACATAGTTTCATAGCACATACAATTGCTGCAATGAAATTAACTTTGGTATGGCAAATTGTAAGAACAGAAAATAATTTGAAGCATGTTTTAAATTATAATTGTAAATGTCTTGCTTAATTTAAGAAAACATATCTTATTAACTGGTTTATTAACAGAGTTTAAATATTTAATGACATATTTATCAAAGTCGCAATTTTATTTTTAATAAATCACTATACATATACCCTCGTTTTTCTTTCTTCCCTAGTTTCAAAGTTCTGATTAAAGATTCGAATCAGTTTGTCAATGGGCATCAATCTTTGTTGTAGTATTGTGTACATCACACTGTGCTAAAGAGCAGAAGATTCAATTAATGCATTTAAATTTTGATTATTTTTATTGCACATTAAAACTAACATAAACATGTGTTTTAAATCTAGTAATAATATTAAAGTATAACTGGCGATAAAGCTACAAAGTTGTGTTTTGATTTAATCAGGTTATTAAATGTGAAATAAGTTATCTGGCCAGTATGTGTAAAATTGTGTACATGTCATTAGCAATTTACCTTTTCTAATTGTGTTGATGTGTTAAGCATGGTTTTATAGCTCTCTTCTTGTAGGTTGGACATCTGATCTGAATGTCTTTTAATTTCTTGTGTTATACTATCAGTTGTATCTGCGTGATCTTGCATCTCTTTATTTATTTTGTGGAAGTTGTTTTCATATTCTTTTATATCTAGAGACAGTTTCTCTAGTGTGTTGTTTGACTTGGATTCTTTTTCTTTTAAACTTTCAATTTCTTTGTTCAGCTCCTTTATTTTGTTATCTTGTTCACTCATTTGTTTTCTGAGGTTTTTAAAATTCTGTTTTTGTTTTTTAGTCAGTTGTTCGATGTTTACCCCCATGTCAGTCTGTTCTTTTACAAAGTTGTATCTCCATTGTTTTATTTCTGATATGTCATCGGTAGACTTGTGTTGTGTGTCCTATAGTGAAGATAGTGTTGTTTCAAGATAGGCGAGTCTACGCTCTAGGTCAGGATGTTCTTCAACTGAGAATAGTAAAATATATAAGTTTATAATTTTAAAGGAATGAAATGTTTAAAAAAAGTAAGTTCTTAAAAAAAGAATACACAACAAAATTAAATTAGTTTTCTTTTTTAAAATTAATAAGTATCAAGCCGTACAGGTTTTAACATTATTTTCGGCTTATAATGCAGCTACTTAACTTGTTATACCAAACAAAACTAAGAAATACCAGCTGTATGAGTGACTTGTGTCTTGAGTTGTCTTGGTGAGTCTACTGTTAGAAATGTTGCTGTTGTCTCTCTGTCAGAATGTGGTAAAGATGGCGTCACTTTGTTGACACGCATGGTGTCTTCAGCTGCTTGATTGGGATTTAAAGTTAACAATGATTTTGTGGTGTATACAATATGTTTTACTAGTTTAGCTAGTTAAAATTATAATCTATATACTACTAAAACTCAAGTTTGTTTACATGTTTGAATATTTATTTGTTTGTCTGATTTCGTACGGTAAAGAAACTGCTCTATATGGGGGGCTGTAAAATAGCATGTAGGTAGAGAACAGTTTTTGTTTGCAGACAGACTGTTAATCACACATTTATTTAAAGACGTTAATTAATTTATTGATTTATTCATAGGTAGATTAACCACATTAAGTTTTTGAACAATGGCTTAAGTTTGACTGAATAGTGACGTTTGATAACTCATTTTGTTTGTTTGTTTGTTTTTTGATTTGTTATTGGGGAGAATCTGCAATATGTGTAGAGCTGTAAAATAAGATTTTGGATGGTAAATATTGTTCTTTCTTAAACACACTGTTAATTACAAACTAATTTAAAGCAGTTAAGTAATGTATTGATATATTCATTGGTAGATTAACCACATTAATTATAAAAGTTTAGAACAATGATTTTAGTAATAGTTAAAAGATTTTGTTTTTTACAACAATGTTTTGAATAATTTTTCTTAAGGCCTATATGTGAATGATACGGTTGACTATCAGGACCTCGCGGGGCACAGGGCAGATGAAGTAGAGTTCACCTGTTTCTATGTTCTCAGCATATGAAGGGATAGTGTGATCAGAGCCATGCTCGGCCGGAATCGTTTTTTTTTTAATAAAAACATTTCTGAGACTTGGCGGGGCACTGGGCAGGTGAAGTAGAGTTTAGTAGAGTTTTTAAAATATAAAAAACGTTTTTTTGAATGTTGGATCTGGTTATTTTGGGATGATAAGTGCTGACAGACGTGATGTCATTTATGGATGACCCCCCGAAACCCACAGTTATCTAACTAGATAACGGGTAGTCTAGTTAATCTATAATCTAATGAATACTCTGATGAAAAAAAACTTTGAACATGAGCCAAATGTTTAGAAAAAAAGTCTTTTTAAACGTATAATATATATATATATATATATATATATATATATATATATATATATATATATATATATATATATATATATATATATATATATATATATATATATTACATATGCTGGGTTTTTTTTACATGAATAATTAACGAATTTATAAGTAACATGTGTTAAATTATTACTTTACCAAAGGTGTTTTAAAAAACATACAGCATTCTATATTCCTTTAAGGCTCTTAATAGGGGCGGAACTATCATGCTACCAGACCCAGCAATTCGGGGTTTGGGTGCAGGAAGTTTAGGGGACCCAACTCCGACCAAAAAAACAATACATTTTCTTTTCATTGATGTTTTTTGTGCACTTTGATGGTGGTTTTGTAAAAAAAAAAAGGTCTACTATAGTTCTAATTGTTCTACAGTAACCAACACACACTGTTGCGTAGAATTGTTTTTTATAATCTTCAAGAGCTGGTTTGAAAGATAGGCTAATGTTTACACCACTTCCATGACTTACTGTCCTTCTTTAAAATAGGGGTGCTTATAAAGCTCATTTAAATAGTTCTGTACTATGTAAATTAAAAAGCTATTGATTCTCTTGAGTATAATTTAAATAAGACATACTAAAGAATCGTATATCTATAAAATGAATGCTTTTAAAATTAATAATATAAGTCCAAAAAATTATAAAAATTAACATAACGCGAGAAACCATTGCACAAATAAAGCTTACGTGTTTATGTTCTTTTGACAAGCTACTCTGCTTTGCTACTCTAACAATTATAAAACACGTTTATTTCATGCCCGAAATTATTTTGGGCTTAGGCCTAATTTTGTCTGGTTTGGTGTCTCAGTGTGGTAATACATTGTAATGAAATAGTTAAAATCACTCAGGAAATAGATTTCTTAAAATTTAATGAGGCAGGCTTCCAATGTTTATATATATATATATATATATATATATATATATATATATATATATATATATATATATATATATATATATATATATATATATATATATATATATATATAAAATAAAGTTGTCGGGTGCTCGATAGGGCATGTCCCGGCGCAGCAGACGCTTCAATTTTGGCATGAGTCTGCCTTGGGGCGATAGAACACGAGGGCCGGTGCCGGTTGGCTGAAAAACCATGAAGAGGGGGTAAAAAATGACTTCAACTGACCGGCGCCTTATATGGGCTAGGCCTGTATCACGAAAAAAAAACTTTCGTCCAAAGACCCCACTTGAAATTTTGTGAGGCGGTAGGAGAACGCCTTGGGGTGTCACAAAAAACTCGCCATGTCCGGGAAAAAATCGGGAAATGTGTAAAAACTGACCAGTCGTATTTTCCTATATTATCGATGTATTTTATGGAAAAAACAGAGGGTAATTTCAAAACGGATTTTAGGGCACTTACCGTCTTTACATCTGGCTAATTTTTAACATGCTAAAAAGTGACCGCGAGAGAAATTCTCTTTGTATGAGCTCTATTACGAAAAAAAACTTTTGTCCGACGAACCCCCTTAAAATTTTGTGAGGCGGTAGGAGAACGCCTTGGGGTGTCACAAAAAAACTCGGCATATCTGGGAAAACTTCGTAAAGGGGTCAAAACTGACCAGTTGTATATCCCTATTAAATCTTTATATTTTATGGGAAAAACAGAGGGTCATTTCAACGCGGATTTTAGGGTCCTTAATCTCAGTATGTCTGGCATTTTTTTTTTTGTATGCTCATATGCAAATGGCTTGACCTTTAGGGAAAACTGTCGGTTTTACTCAAAGCACTCGACGAGTCCACGAGGGTTAAAAGATGACCATTTAATATTA